CTTAAGGTTACGGTAAACGTTTTCTGGATGAAAACATCATTTTTTCGATTTTTTCACATTCAAGTAGCCGAACTTTCAAGGCACACAATGATACCAAATTTGAAACAAACAGAAATTTTGAAAGTGGAAAAAATCCCATGTAAACGAATGTTTCCATAATTTCTTTATCAAAACTTTTAGTTGAGGCCTGAAAATTTCTTGACCTGTTAAGCCGATTATCGTTGCTTTGCGGTTGTGGTCGCATGTCTCATTTACAATATCGCATGGCACATCCATATATCCAATGTACGCCCGTGTTTATTTAAACAGGCTTATTGATCTTAAATCTTTAAGTGACTTGACCCGGATTACACTGTGGCTTACGAGTGTATCTTGCAAGTGCGATCACTAAAATCCCGTTTTCTCCGGACTCGAAATTCCTCTACATGAAGGTACGAAAAAGCTATTATGTACCCAAGGAACCAATCGAATGGCTCGAAAATTTGCACACGGCCAGGGCAGACGTTGGGCAAACAAAATGTGTCTCAAAATTTTTTTATTTTCTCTGGTCCGTCTTTTATACCCAAATACAGCTGCCGGAGGGTGGAAAAATTATTTGCCAATTTTTGACAGGGTATAGTTTCAAGAAGAGGAGGAATTTAGAAAATCTGAGACACACTTTGGTAGCTTAGGTCCTGCACTTCCTGCTGGTCTAAGTCAGATTTTGTTACCTCAAACGCAAGGATACATAATAGCTTTTGAAGGTGGTACACTTTTTGACCAGTAAATTCGCATGGAAAATAACATTTAACATTATTTGCCAATAATTTTTATCTGGCTAGATACGCCATAATCTTGTGCATCGAATGATATATAGTTTATCCTGATTCCTTGAGCCGTTTGGCCTTTAGGAAGGAAAAACCAATTTTCGTGTTCAAAACGTTTACCGTAACCTTAAAAGCTCATCGGATGTCTGGCACAATGCCCAACAAATACATTGTTTGCTAGAAAATTCAGAAATATTTTTTATATAATATAGGTAGTAGCATCAACACCCGTTACAGGGCTTATCAGAGAAACTATCACCAGGTTTTCCGTACTAACGCTCAGTCAAACGTAAAATTTGTTGCAGGGAATTTAAATTAAAACATGTAAAACTCTTCGTTACATCTTTTAATACATGTGTTAGTTTAGTGCCTCTCTAACGAGAATATTGTCCCTGTTTTGAAATAGACAACACAAATAGATGTTGTCTTACAGTGTTCTCCAGGTGCATATTGAATCTAGGCAAAAGTCAATTACACAATAAGGCTCTATCACTTAAAAAATATTCCCTTGAAAGGAAACATGCATTCTTACAAAATACATATTTATGTCAGTACTGTCCATCAAACACTTGAGGATATCATTTACATAAATACTCTTGAAAAATAAATAGCCTTTATACAATAAAGTATAAAAAGAAAAATCCTACTTATCCCAATCTTCATTTCTGTTGTCCAGTAAAACCAACACAATGTCAAATCGACTGAGCAAAGGGCTTGCCAATGCCACATTAACACTCAAAGGTTCTTCACTGTCATAATTTCCTTTGGGATTTGTCGCTGCCAAAATTGTAGCTCTGGTATTAAGCTTGCAGACAAGTCCAGCTTTTGCTACACTTATCGTCTGTTGTTCCATTGCTTCATGAATGGCTGAAAAAATAACACTTGGATGCACTTGCAGTTCCAGTCAAACTTTGGTTGGTAGAAAACCACAAAGAAGAGACATTTACAAATATGCCACAAGGAAGAGACATTTTAAAGGTCATCTGCTACAAAATGTTGTTCCCTCCAACAGTTCAACTTTCAAAATTACAAATCCAACTTATTAAATCATTGAAATAACACATTGGCTTAACCAAATGATTAACTAAAGCCTCAGCTGTTTCCATCCTAGGCTAAAAAATAATTTTAAATGACTGGAAAAAATGAAGGACATGTCCAATAGTTAAAAGAAAAAATCATCTACAATAAGTAAAGCATAGCAAAATTGCAGTTTTATGGATATTTTTTATACAATGTCTTTTAAAAGGTGAATAATTGAACTTAAACCCAAGGTTGCTTATTAGCAGTTTTTTAACAGGCAGAAAAGTCATTGGAGAAACTTGTGTAAAAACATCAGAGAGACAAGCCAGCTGCAAATGTTTCACTGTAAAATGAAGTGCTTTATCCACCTACAGGCTTTATCATGTTCCCTGATGCAGTTAAATTCATCAATGCAGCAGAGACCCCCGTCAGCAAGAACTAGTGCCCCAGCCTCTAGTTGCCATTCCCCTGAATCTTTAACAGCAGTAACAGTCAATCCTGCACTTGTAGTGCCAATTCCAGTTGTAAGCACAGATCGAGGCATCAGTTTAGTTGCATATTTAAGAAACTGTGATTTCCCAGTGCCTGAAATTAAGCTATAGTGCTAATTAAATATACATAAAAATATCTTTGTGGCTGTAAAGAAGGCCCCATACAGGACTAACTAGGATAATAAAAAGCAAGTATTAATGCAAAGAACAGCAAATACTTTGCAAATTACTTTAACTCAATAGATGCACTCGCCTGCCGGTCTTTTTATAAACCTTGCAGTCAGAATTTTTCTCCGTGTAACAACAAAAAGCATCATTATTCAATTGGTTGAAAGCAGGCACCACGAACAAAATGTCTTCAAATGATGTGTTTCTGTGATACAAACTCAGTTACTAACACAATGAAAATGGCAAGTTACCTGGATCTCCAACCAGCAGCAAATGTGATTCACCTCTTACTCTCGTGCCACTTTTACTGAGTCTCTGAATTCCTCCTATTAATGTGAGGGCTACAGACAACTTCACAAGATAAAGACCAAATATCTGTGGACAAAATGATGCAAGTATCTCATTTCTTCCTTTAAGAGGATACAGTTTGTGCCTTTCCCAAAAGTCATCAAATTCTCTTTTTATTTCATCAGTTAGAATGACAGAAGAACTTTGATTATTGTTTACCACCAAATTGTTGGCTCTCAAAACCAATTCAATTTCACATTTTGTCTGCAAAAAAGAGGTTAGATAACAGATTATAAATGATAAATATTTGGCTTTTTGCCATGCAAAATATTAAGACTAAATGTTTTAATTTTCACCTATTGCTGGATTCTTTTTTGTAGATAAGATAACCATGTTGAAAAAAGTATCTAAACATGAAATATTTTAATTCCATTAATAATTCAAATAAGAGGGCCATATTTTGATGCTAAGATCAGAACTTTACTTTTTGACTGAAATGACAATTATGTACTCATATTCTCGCTTTAGAAAATAGCGCTATATAAAGTTTCTATAAGTCTAACACTTCAGAGTAGCACTAGAAACATCTATCGCTTTCTATGCGACATGTCCAAAAACGACAAAACTTCCCCTTCTTATACTGATTGTTAAGCTCGAAATTTGAGAGCAAGTATGGTATGTCTTACTTTTATATCAAATTTTTCTGTCCAGGAGACTCGTGTTGTTTATTCCTCCGCGTCTCCACACTGAGAAATTCTGCACTGAAACGTACTAGCTAGCCGAGATACCAATATCCATTCGTAAGAGACACATTAAGAGCCCAAGAAATTTGTGTCATGGAGATCTCTCATCGAGTCACTTGCGTGTGTAGCGAAGGACCACCAAGGCACAGTTTCGGCAAATGGTAGGATATGGCCCGTATCGGAAAGAGACACACTGAAAAGCACAAGGGTCACGTGACCAATTAGAGAGAGGAATGTAGTCCTTAAACATTTATTGACAGATATAGACTTAGTAGCCTACAACAAATCAAGGTATTAGAAGAGATATATCTGCCGATCTGCAGTATCTGAAAGTAAAGTTCTGAAAAATCCTTAACGCCCCAAACATTCAGTGCACACTACTTAAAATTTGAACTTAATTTAATAATTGGACATTAAAATATTTCAAATGTTTGATACTTTTTTCACCCACTGATAAATGAATATAATATCAGCCAAAAAGAATCCAGGCAAAATAACGCTTATTGATTACATTAACACATTTGAGCTTTATATTTGGCTGGTAAAAGCCCATATTTATCATTTAATAATCTCTTATCTAACCTCTTTTTTGCAGACAAATGTGAAGAGTGAATTGGTTTGAAACAGGATTGCTAATTATGCTTTATAGAAAAAAGAAATTAGCTTCAAAAGAGACTGTATCATCTCCATACTTTCCCTACTCCATGCAGCAGCACAAACAAGAAGAATTTGACTGACTCTTTGGGAAAGGAACAAAACTGTATCCTCTTAAAAGGAAGAAATGGAATACTTGCATCATTTTGTCCACAGATATAGGTCTGGTTATGTGAAGAGGGAACTGTAGAGCATGCCTCACATAAAGATAGCCGAGGCAATTCAGAGACTAGTAAAAGTGGGCAGCACGACGCATTAAAAACTAGCATGAATCAATTAGCTTGCTGCTGCTGGTTGGGTAAATTCGACTTTAGAATCAGGGTAAAAGGTTGGTTGTGCCAATTATTATCATTGTGTTAGTACAATGAATGTGTGGGTAATCAGTAACTCAGCACAGGCATCATTTGTGAATAACGACTTTTCGTTCTCGTGAACCTTCAGGTGGTGTCCCAAATGGGATGCTGCCTCTCAAACGAAGAACCTGAAATAATGAATGCTTTTGGTTGATGTAAGCCGAGTGGGGACACAGAATTCGCGAAAACGTATGAGCGAGTTTATAAAAATAGTGAGCGCTAGCAGGAAGACTGCATGAAGTGCATTCATTGAGGTAAGTAATTTGGCAAGTAACTTCTGCCTGTCACCTCTGCCCTTCTTACTTTTTTGCAATAATAAAATTTACACCAAAGAATTAACTCAACTATCTTAAGAAGTGAGCAATGTTACATATCTACACTCTAACTGATGAATTCTCATTTTTTAAATTAACTTGTTCCAATTTTTCAATATCTTAATCTTGTTAAACCTATGATGCTTTAGTAATTCTTTATCGTTAAATCTAATCGGAGACTGTTCTGATTAAATAAAGAAAAAGGGGCTTAAAATGTTTCCAGCGCATTCTATAAAAATGGGGCCTTCTGAAGACGGCGCAACGATATTATTTATGTAAATTCTAATTTGCCAACTTACAATAGCCTTATTCAAGGCCACTGGGGCAATCCACGTTCTTAAAATATGCCACTATCATTCCAATTTCCTGATTCAGCCATCCGCTTTAGACTGCGTGGATCCTAGTGGCTTAACTGGAAAAAACTGGGTGGCCCATGCTTTGGGGATAAACCAATGCATTCTCAATGAGAATTTGGAGCTGTTGGTCTTGCACTATCCTTTCTCTAAGGCCCTGTTAGAACCAAGTCAGGCTTGTGGAACTTTGGACAGCAGAGGTCTTTGCAGACAGACAATAACGTTTCTTGTCTCACACTGGTCCGAGTCTTGCTGCATTGAATGTAACATTTAAAACTGTTTTGCATAAGCAGGAAACATGATAAAGTTGAAGTGGATAGAGGCCAAACTATCACTAGTTGAAGTAGTAGAGGCCTTGATGGGACAAGACCATGCCAGCATAGAGCGTATAATGATCGATTGAGTATGAGGCGTACCGAGACGAAAGCAGGGTCCTAACCATATTCGAATGACACTAGGTGAGACGTATGTTTAAAAAAGGGCAGTTAATAATAACATTGTCAAAACACACACACTGTACTCTTTTGTGATGGGTTCCTCCAAGTTCCACTTAATTACCTTTTCTCTGTATTCAAAGAACATCCATAAGTACTAACAAAAATAAATATTTCCATAAAAAACAACTTGGCAATTTTTGCATATGCTTTACTTATGTTTTTCTGTACGATGATTATTATCTTTTTAACTAATTAGGATGGTCTTTTATATTCCATTTTTCCCAGTATCACTTAATTCTAAATTGTCTTTTTTAGCCTTCTTCGATATGTGAAACCTGCTCGATGAAGCGTCTTAGTTCCGTATCATCCTCCTTGGCTTTCATAGCGAAAACCATTATCCAGATTGACGTGGTTTAATTAACAATGATATTAATGAAAAAGTCTGGTGAGTCTGCCTTTTATTGAGGAAACTAGAGATTAGGAGTGAGGAGCAACCCATTTTGTCAGCAGAATGATTCTGAAAATTTGTTCTACTCTCGTGTCGGTCATACTTTTTGTAATCGTGTCTTCTTTCTAGGTAGTTAAATCCTAACCGCAACCTAATCCAGTATAGATCATGGGAGAGGACTAGCATAAGTGCAACAGCAATTCCATGATGAGTTACTGCATTGTACTTCCAAGTCTGCAATGATCAGAGATGAATGGACCACAGATACGTAATAGTAATTGGTTTAACACGAAACAGACTGGATTCTCTTGTACGCGACAAGGCTGTGTTACAACATATCCAGGGGCAGATCTAGAAACGCAAATCAAGGATGCCGACTCCCCGAAAGTCGGATGATTGGAATAATTGACAATCTGAACCGATTGTATAGTGAAGATGTTCCGAGACATGTGGCATGGGCAAAGCCCTCCAGCTTTGCTCAGGTTCAACTGGTAAAGCTTGAATGATTGACATTGATTGGTATCTGTAACCTTCATTTGTGACTAACGAAATGATAGCACTAGGGAATACGTAGTATTTTTGATTGTTAAGGTAGAAGACGATTTTAGTTAACTCATTTGATATTTAATTGATAAGGCGTAAGCCAGGTTTAAAGGAGAGAGATTGAGTATTGGATTGGTCTTCCAAAAAAGAAGGGTAGATAAAATTGTATGATTTGTAGCTGTAATCCTCACAAGTGTGTCCACTGGACTCATGTTAAACCTAAGAATTTTTAGGAAACACCGAATAAATATGATATTCTCAAGAAATGCCTATTTGTCAATTTCCAGGAGGAAGATTTATGGTTATAAAAAGCTATTGATGCTTTGAGTACTGATTTGTGTAATGGACTGTTGCCATAATATATTCCTCAGCTATTGTAAATCATGGAATGAAACACTGTAAAAAAAGAAAACACCATATTCTGAGTTGTCTAATTTCAAAACAAGGGAACAATATCCTCATAGAGAGCACTACTAACACATGTAATTAAAAGATTGCTAAACATATGAGTTTTACATCCTTGGCCTGTTCTTATTATGAGAGTGCGCGCCTTGCAATCAATTTTTTAACTATGCTGTGCGTCCCCCATTCTACAATCTTGACCCTAGTTTCCTTGACAATGATAACCCATGTGGCATAGTCTTCTCTCGATAACAAGTCCCTGTACTGAGGTAGTTGATGCTACTATTACTTCTGAATTGGTGTATAATGGCAGAGGAAATGCAACAATACGATGTCAAAAAACTTTGATCTGATACATTCTCTAGCACACAAGATGTTTTATATTTGTTGGGCAAACTATTGTGCCCCAAGATAATAAAATACGAGATATGAACAAAGACTTGTAAGAGAGTTTAGCGGATTCAAGAGTAATCCGTTAAATCTAATTGTACACGCGATTCAGTTACTCGCAAGCATGAAAACGTAACAACTTGAAGGCTTTTCCATACACTTTTCCTTTAAAATGGCACTAAAGGGTTCAAGGAGATCAAAAGCGAATAAAACCTTTACTAATTCGATGGCACAAATGCTTAATTCCGAGAGTAAGGATAAGTCTAGTTCCCACGAGAGAAAAATTTATGTGCATAAATAATATTATCGTTAAAAAACTGTTATTTTCCCATGGAATACATTAAATGAACATATAGGATTACAAAAAAAGTTTTTATAACCTCAAAATCACACGTTCCAAAATAGGGGTCATGAATAGGAATCCCCCTTGGGGTAGTGGGTCTTATGTGTATCTGTATGGTATTACAGATCAATAAGAGTGGCGGGTGAACTGATAAATGTGAAGCAGCGGGAAGGGGCCTTAATGGAGAAACACGTAAGGAGTGCGTCCTAGATCTAAAAGTGTGATTGTTCAGATTTATAAAATATGAATTTCCTCATCTTATCTCATGTTTCCTGAGAACTCCA